AAAAAAAAAAAAAAAAAGCTGCTACCCTACAACTTTCTATGGTATTTTTCATTCTTTGTTTATCCGGTGGAGGTGGAGTTTCCTAAAGTCTCTTTACTATTTGGGACAATGCACTTTGTAAGTATTGGTGTAACACTAAACTTATTCCGTTCTATTTTCCAGGATAATTGTCCCCCCGGAACTAGGATATCCTGAGAATGATTTCAACAGGAAAGGTCCAAGGCCAACAACATTTTCGGTACTGCTTTATTAGCCACTGTTTATTTTGTGAATTTACATTTGAGTTCATTGCCATCGTTTAAGTGATGTTATACAAAATCCCCTGATATCGCAGGGTCAAAGAGCACTGGATTTTGTATTGAGGAATCAAGGGTTGATTGATAAAACTCTCCTCTTTGATATTGAGCTCCTAAAGATTGTCCCAAATGGAAGAAGCTAAATCTTACTCCAATGCCATGTGTTTTTCCCTCTTGCTCGTAATTGGCGACAAAGGCCCTGTCAATACATGTCTATTAATTTGAAATACCACACGTTGTGTAACATAATCGTAAATCTTGAACCCAAATTGTTGCAATGCTGCTGTGATTGATGCCTTTACATTTGTCTACTGTATACATTTATTGGTAGCTGTCGTTAAAATGGCTTATTCCATATTTGCAGCACAAGTATTTGTTAAATGGACATTTTGAAACAGCTTCCTATAAAGTAAATGCCCGCTTATATTTAAGATGCTGCAGTTCTTTTGTTTCTTCGATTTGCATGTCTAACTCAAGCGACACTCAAGCGTCAAGAACAGCGGTAAACCAAAAAGAAAAGTGCAAATGACACCATGGACAATTTGAGTATAATTCGAAATCTTTCACGCTGTTCTCACCGCATAAATGAAATTCCCTCCCTTTTCTTCTTCGTCGATCATCTGTAGCTAAGCTGAATCGAAATATAAGCAATACGACCAACAAGAAGCACGCAACTATAAATTGTCATGTTTTTTTTTTTTTTCAAACTTTTGGAATATTTAAAGCAGCACAACACCAAGTCAGCCTTTCACGAAAAATGGTCATGTGCATGTGCCCCTCACAAGTCAACAACTTTAGACTCCACAATTTTCCATCTCAAATCCCCTAAATATACTTTAAACCTGAGAGATACTGCTGTCTGGAAATCAGATACTGTGCCAAGGAGTATATAACTCCAAGTAGCCCCAGAATCTTAACCTTGATTATATCAGTCATGATTACCGAGGGAAGATTGAGAGGCAGAGACAGCAAAGGCCTCGAGTCAGCCTGCTTCGTATAGCTCCAAACAAATCGGTTGAACAGAATATGGCTGGGGAAAGTGAGCATAAGGAGAGCCAAATTCTTCACCACAAACACCCAATCGGGCCCCCCAATATCAACCCCCCACCCGACATTTCCATGCCACAGGTCCTCCCAAACGCTGTAAATCGCCGTTATCACCAAGTAACCGGAGATAGCCACCGTGACCGGAAAATACCTCTGCTTATCCCCAAATCCAGCGAAAAAATCCAAATCCTGGTTCAGCAAAAGAAGGATCGGAGCCAGGAAAAAGATCGCCCGGTTGGATCCTCCGGTTAAATGCGCGTTGAGGATAAGGCATATCGCGAAGCACATCACGGTAGCCACATTGCCGACAGCTGGCATCCACGCCCCCTCGGACGAAATCCTCTTGATCGTAAAACTGGCCGGAGGCCCGGCCAAAGCCTGCCGCTGCTTCATGAATCTCAGCCTCGGTGGAACGGCGGCCGAGGGGGCGGCAGACTGGCGGCGGCCGCCCGACGATGATGACGAATCGCGAACGAGGGAAGCGAGCTCGAATTTGATCTCGAGCGCGATTAGCATGAAAATCGCTGCATAAAGGCCGAGGAGGGAAGTTCGAGCTCCTTCTATCGCCAGCAATGTCGCCATTTGGCCACTGTTTTCATCAGCCACGTCATCAACCCATGTTTTGTTAATTCTGACCTGGCCCTCGAGTAAGTATGTGACCGGGAAGAGGGCCACGATTAGTGCGAAGATCCAAGGGAGAAGCTTTGTGCTCGAGGCAGAGGGCAAGTGGGTGAAGACGACAAATACGGAAGTGCAGATCATGGTGAGTATGATGAGGGCGTGGAGAATGGTCGACTGAAGGAAGTACTCGGCGGAAATGTAGACACCGAGAGAAACCCCAAGGGCGATTGCGTAAAATGTGCGGAGCTCGACTATGTATTTGATGGGGATAATGGAAGTGACGCCAGCAAGAGTTACGAGGCTGGATATAATGAGCAGCCATGATGGCCATGTGGGTTTTGCGGCCATGAAGCCGTAAATAGATATGTCATCTGCCGATTGACGGGCCAATCTGATTAGGTCGGAATGGTACGTCAATGTCACTGGCATTGGTGGCTGCATCATAATCAGTAACAGACCAGTTGCTACAACCAACACCAAGTGTCTCTTAGCCGACTGCCAAAAAAAAAAAATTAAAGAAGAAAAATATGTGTTCAGCTATTTGGAAGGAGAGCAAAAGTCTCTTTGATAAACACGTAGATGATGCAATTTGTATAAACAAGTTCTTGAAATTGTCGGGTATGAACATCAGTGAGGCCACAATGGATTTATGTCGTTTTCTAAATATTTTTGCTTAACTCCTATCATTTGGCAGATAAAATTTGATATCCGAAAGCGCTCTAACAATTCCAAAAGGATAACTTGAAAGGGGTTGTCGGGCGAGTAGAGCAGGCAAGCAAATTAGAAGATGTTTGAGCGGCAGGTATAAGTTATTATAAGCACGATTCGAATTCATCTCGTAAGAAATATACAAATCGAGAGAAAATAAAGGAATGGTACCATGACATGTGAAAAGTGCAGGGCAACGATTGGCACACAACCCAATGCAGTCAACAGGATGCAAGAGCCCAAAAGCAAACCATCAGAAGGAGACCTCCCATTCCACCACTGAAAGGCTTCAAAGATAGTTTCACGGCAGAACCACACAGATGAAGCAACAACAACAGCATGTGCATAACCTTGCCATGGCTTCATCTTTGATGCTAATTTAAGTTTATCCCTACAAGGTAATGCAAGAAATAAATTTCCAGTGAAAGGAAAAACTTTTTATAAACATAATAAAACAAGAAAAGAAGTTCTGCCAGTACTTATAAAGCAATAAAGGAGGAGAGACTGCCAACAACAGAACTGCTGAGACCCACAACACAGCCTTCGACGCCATAAAAAGCATAGACAGCTTTGAGGAATACAGACATGTCAGAACCCAAACTGCCTTGGATCCAACCCTCTGATCCACAGAAAGCCTCCTCACAATGGCCAAACCCACAAAAGTAGTCATGACAACCATATAACTAGGATACATCACATCATCATCCATCCCATAGAAGTACACATTTGAGTAGTTGAAGAAATTATTTTCGATATAGCACAGCAACAGTGCGTGACTGATTAATCCAGCTTCAGTCAGGAAACGGAACTGTGGTGGAAGAACAGCTAAACCGGGCACGGACATTGCAAGGATTACACTGCCAACTATAAGCTTACAGAAGGATTTCAGTGACATGCCTGCTATCCAAATATTAAGGTCCCAATAGTTATGCATCACGAACCACGCAGCCATCAAGCTCCCTAGCACAACAAATGCAGTGTATGACGACAAACTCTTCTTTGTGAAAAAACGAGCCAAGTAATACCCAGCTATTGCCGGCAGGGGAATGAACTGCAAAATGAGGAATAGACATTTTCAGAGGTATGTTGTATAGCTTACAATTCAACAAATTATGGATAGAATAATGTATCAGTGGGTCTTGTTTTCTGTAAGTAACTATGTAACTAACTTAGTAGCTAATAGGAGTGATTTATAAAAATTGTTTTACCTACTGACCAACTGTTTCAAAAGTACTTAGCAACAGGAACACATGGGTGGCAACTAATATAACATACAAGAAACCGTCTATGAAAAACAAGGGTCTTCTTTGGCACATACTTTTAAGATTTGTCAAGTTTCAGGGCTTGGACTGCAGAGTTATGTTGCACAATGAAGTCCTTCTCTAATTCGATATTATTTATATAAAAAAAATGTTAATGTAGCTTTCAAAATCATGTCAGTTCATTACACGCAAAACTCTGAGTCTTCACAACTAACATATTCAGATGTATGATATATCAAACTACTCCTCTTTTATCTACAACTTGATAAGGAATTGTGTGAGCCAAACCAAATGTACATATTACAGAAGTCAGATGGGAATATTTTCACCAAAACCAAAATAACAATAATTTAGATCGGAGAACAGACGAACATGTAGTGAAGACTGTAGAGTCCAAAAGAGTTATAAATGGCGTTTAGACTGGGACTCCCAATACTCTATGTTATCCACCTAGGTTTTGGAAAAATCTGAATGAGCATACCCTAAATATTAAACATGAGCACGAGCATCTACTTCTAATATTTTGTACACCCACATTATACTTATCAACAATCAACTGCATTATGTTATGTTTTTTAAATCAAAACTATATCGGTAAATATATAAGCCAATTTTTATTGTTTCTGTTCAACAACGCTGCACTGATGAGTATATATGACCCAATAGTAGTGATCTGCAGGAAATGCTAACAATATGCACTTACAATGAGAATCTCCATCACTTAATAGGAACATCTTCAAATTTTTAACAAATCTCCATCACTTGAAAGGAATGTCTTCAAAATTTTAACACTTAATAATGTAGGCTGGCATAAAATCACTAGATCCTCAGTTTTTCAGCCAAGTATGTTTCAAATTTTCATATCTAAGTCAAGTTTCCAAAAATGGCTAAACAATACAAGAAGAATTCAATCATTGACCACAACAGTTAGTCCTCAATTAAACATTAGTGATGTCACACTGCCCCATAAGCAGAAAGCTGAAAGACAACTCAAAAACAATCCACAAATTAAGAGTTAGAAGAAAAGGAATGTAAAACACATACTATATGGCAACTAGTCAACATATAAGTTGACATGAACAACGCTAGACATAGAGACATGCAACATCAAAGAAGCTCGAGGAACTGCAGTCAAAGTCAGAAGCTATTAGAATTTAGTCGATAACCACATTACAGGACAACTAAAGATTCATTTTATAAACAGTTGCATTTGAAGAAAAAATACCAGAATGGGAAACCCGACAACAATCGCCCCAGCAGCACTGACAATGATGGCCGAAGCAGTGAAGACCAAATAACTGAATGCATCAGAAACCATACCAAGGGCATAGGCACCGGCAGCGGATGCACCTCCAAGCATTGTAATGGAGACAAGCAGGTAATTCAGAGGTGGTGGAACATGAATGTAACGTCCAAATGAAAGGAACACAACTCTAACCTCCAGGCAAACAACGACTGCTACCAATATCAAGGCACCATTTAGAAGCCGGATTTTGTGCAGCTGGTGCTCATTCTTAGTGACCCACCACAAAGCTCCTTTGGTAGACGCATAAAGTTGAAACAGAAAGGGAATGCAGAAAAGGAGGAGCAAATCACAAAAAGCAGCGCTAGATGAAAACATCACCGAATAGTGAGACCCAACATGGAATGACAAAGGAAAGAATATAAGGTTTAGGGTGTGCACACAACTCTCCAGATGCCCTAGGATGAAACTATCCTCTGGTACCTCACCTCCATGGTAACCCACTTCATGCTTCAGCTTAAACGATGACACACGGGGAATTGAGTACAGCCAATAGAAAATGCAATTAAATACCATGAGATAGTAAGCAGCGTTGTTCATACCCACTGCAGAAACAGTTGCCCAGGTAAAAAGCGCGGATGCAATGAGGGGTACACAGGCGAACAAGAGGCGTTCAAGCGCAAGTACAATGGTGGGATATTCGATTTGCATCCATTTGAACTGAAGCGAAACCCAAACCCCAATCAAGAAATTCGTCAGTGCACAAGTGAAATCAGCAAGGACGGTGAGTGAGATGTAACTGAAGGTATGATGAAGAGATGAGCTGAAAAAGAAGATCAACTGTGCCACGATGAGGGAAAACCAGACGGCGAAGAAGGAGCCAGATTTGAAGTTAAGAGAGTCGAGGATATAAGCAACCATGAGGCCCACGATGAGGGCGGCGACTACGGGCGCGCCGCCGAGATCAAGGAGGAAGACGGCAGCAGGGACAAGCGCGACAGCGATTCTGCCGTTGTGGATGAATGAAGAAGGGGTTAGCCTCGAATTCTTCATGGATGAGCTGGAACGGCGGCTTCTACTGGCGGCGGCTCCGCCATAGTAAGAGGATGTGGTGGGACTAGGGCTGCGGTTAGGGTTTTGGTCGCCGTTGTAGGAAGAGGATGTGGTGGGAAAAGATGGAGCGCTGGCGGAGGAGGATATGTAAGGGCGGAAGGCCCTAGACTGGAGCTCCGGCGGCAGCATGACGGCCGGCGACGGTGAATGATAACTGCGATCGGGTGGGAGTGAGATGGAGAAGGCGAGTCAAAGTTTATTGAGTGGGCGTTGGGAGAATAAAATGTAAATGTTATTACTATTATTTTTTTTCCATGAAAAAATGAAATATACAACTTGAGCATATGTATTTTGACTTTTGAAATTGAAAATATTTTATTTATTTGGTAAAAATATAGATCATGATCATGAGTATTTATTTATAACTAGTATTCAACCTGTGCATTTGCACAAATATGTAAATAAGATATTGTTAGTTATTTGTATACATATAATGATTAATAATTTTTGTTAAATTTACAATTAAAGGAGCTGAAATATTTATTTTTTTAAATTGTGTTTATCATATTGGATATAATGAATATTTTGGTATGTATTTTTTTTGTGAATTACGTATTATTTATTTAGGAATTTCAAATATGTTTTTTTATTTTCGGAAAGAAGTTAATTTAAATGTAACCACAACAATAACATCTACTCGCATTAAATAGTCAACACATTATATGGTCAACTGTAAGTAATTAGAAAATTTAAAATAATTTTTGTAATTTTAAAGTAATTAGTGTATTGATTACCTAATAATTAAATGAGAAGTTAAATGAATAAAAAGTAACAGTTTTTGAAGGGAAAAAATTATATTGCCACCTAGGTATAATTTAATAGGTTTTATTAAATGCTCATTAGTCAGTAATTATATATATATATAGATTTACAAACTTTATTGCATCTCATCCGCAAAAAAATGCATGTTTATATGATAAATGCTTTGCAAATTTTAATATAAAGAAATTTGTATAATATAAGTTGCATTTGTTTTTTTCATTTGCAAATTTCTCTCATTCACAAAAATTAATCATATATTAACAAATATGTAAATTTATTAATCAAATTCGAAACACATCACTCTTATTAATAAAAAACAAAAAAATAATCACTAAAAAACTTCGATAGAGAAATAAACAAATCATACAAGAGTATACTAGAACAACTATAAAAACATAATAAAAAAACACTAAAACAACTAAAAACAAAACACAACACAAACACACAATGTAATAGACTACCACCTTCTCTCAGTTAGCAAACAAACTGCATCAAATCGCGACCCGACTCTCGAAGATAATTGCTTACCCGAATAGGAATCTGACCGAGTATTGAACCAAAAACTTGAGTATAGCCACGGCTAGTTGGAACCGCATCATAACCCAAATATTCTCTTGTACGGACCACCTCCAGACCAGAGATGCTAGATTGGCATCCCTCATCGCACTCCCACAACAAGCACACAAACCCATTGGACAACAGGCGCCACCGTATGCTCACCAAATGGTCGTCGTTCGTCCACCAACCGCACCAACTAACCATCCGCGACCTCCAAAGAAATAAGGCTGTCAAACAAAAGGGGGAGAGGAACCATACCTCAGCCCCGACAGGAATCGAAAGCCTGCAACTCGTCGCAAGTTGGCTCAAGGAAGCCCTCGCAATATCGGAGAAGACTAGCAAGGGCGTCGCAATTCTATGCTGGGGAGGGGGCCGCGACGTTTAGAGGAGGAGTTGCGCGTTTCGATGACGCCGACGCTGGGCCGAGCGGTAACCCGACTTAGAGGTGAGCATGCATGGCAGAAGGCATAAGGTTTTTTATTTGGGGGAGAATGCAGATTATTATTTTTTTTTTTTTTAAGGAGAGAGCTTGAAAATTGGAATATGTAATTTTCTTGGTTGATCCATTATCGATAAATCAATTTTTTTTTTAATCGACATACACTTTTTGTAATTTAAAAATTAATTGATCAATTTTAAAGTTCAAATTAAAATTAATTATTAATTAGCTTATAATCTTCATGTGTAGTTAAGAATTTCAAATGTAGGATTCAAAAGGTTATCAATTTGTATATTTTCAAATTGTCATTTTTAAAACTTTTATAGGATAAATTGTGATTTTTAGAAACTTTATATGATAAAAAA